TTGTACCCTCAAATCTTGTAACTCAATTTTAACCCAATTCCCAATGTGGTATCGACTGCAAACTTGGTATACTTATGTCATACTGATGACAATACTATATTCTATTAAAAAAATGTTTTTAAACATTCATTTTTAATGTTATGTTTCGGCTTGGGTCTAATTGTCCACGCTCAACTGACGTTGGCTGTAAATCACCACGGTCCCTGACGATATGGCAAGCTTTGCGGCCACTTTCTGGAGTCGTGGAGTTCTGCCATGACGAGTTTGGTAAATTTCATTAAAGCGTGGTTTAAAAAAAAGTATTTTTTATATTAATTATTTTTCATGTAATACTGTAGTTTTTTTTATCTGGATTCAGCGCTGTGTCACAAACACTGTTGTGAATCCCCCCCGCCTCGCCCATAAAAAAGACATCTCGAGGCTGATTACTCACAAGCTGGCTTGAGAAAGCCATAAAATGTAATTTAAAAAAAACAGCGGCAAGCCCAATGGGGACTAATGAGATTCCTGGAGAAACCCCGAAATTCGCTTCTCAGAGGTAGCCGCAACAAAGGAAATGACACAAAGACGGAATCACAGGAGACCAGGGGCCTCCACCAGACAGCGAGATCCACCTCAGGGTGCTTAATCATTACAAAGCCGGGCTGGGGAAAGTTTGAAAGATCAGCAGTAGAGTTACAAGCTGAGCTATATCTTCAAATCAGGATATCAAAACATAACTTGAGAATAAGAAGAGCGGATCCTTGGTGATACAGACGGGGAATAAAAGGTTAATGGGACCCTCGGAATATCCTTGGGTAACAATAACTGTATGCCATAAATATTGGTTAAGCATAAACCGAATTTCGATTTCAAGCTTTCGTGACTGTAAGGATTCATCTTCTTTGGTTCTTTCGGTAAAGTCACAACGTAGAATGAGAATAAAATAATAAATTGATAAAATAAAATAACACAATAATATTCTCACGAGAATATTATTGTGTTATTATATTATTGTGTTATTTTATTTTATCAATTTATTATTTTATTCTCATTCTACGCCACTTTACCGAAACAACCAAAGAACATAAACCGAATAACAATTACGGGAGTATTAGACCTTGAAGATATACAATACGAATTATGTCAATAGTCCAGGACCAAAATAGCATGCATTCTAGGGGCAGAACCAGAGCCTGCCCAACCGCCTTTGTCTTCCCAGTAGCTTGCATAACACGTGGTAGCAGGAAATTGTGTTATGCGGGGGGGCGCCTCCCTGTGGTATATCAAATACCGTGCGAGAGTTCCAACCGCGACGTGAGTGCTGTGAGTGCCGTGAACGCTCCTCACAACGTGAACCAAACACGGCGGCGGTGAACACGCACACCCGGACACAAAAAGGTTCACGACCTCAAGGCCACAGGAAAATCCGAGCATTTGTGAGAAGGAAGCAAAAGGCGGGGAAAATAAATCGGATGTAAGAAGTAGCCAAACCACGCGAGAGAGATCTGCTCCAGGCAGAGTCCAAGACTTGCCCTCGTGGCTGGCAATGATAGGGAGCTCTGCACTGGCAGACTCTACGCAGAACGGGAAGGGGTTTTTTGTTCTCATTCTGTACCTGGCATTGGGGGAGCCACTGCAAGGCTAAGGCTTGCACTCACGGCATCGCGACACAACACGTGGGGGAGAGTACTGTGGACGAGACTGCCCCCCGGTGGTGAGATCGCTTTATACAGCCTTCACACACGACCATAGCATTCCATGGTTCTTTAGGGAAAGTCACGTAGAATGAGAATAAAATAATAAATTGATAAAATAAAATAACACAATAATATTCTCACTGAAAATAAAATGACACAATAATATTCTCACTGAGAATAAAATAACACAATAATATTCTCAGTGAGAATATTATTGTGTTATTTTATTTTATCAATTTATTATTTTATTCTCATTCTACGTGGTGACTTTACCGAAAGAACCAAAGAAGATGAATCCTTGCAGTCACGAAAGCTTTAAATCGATATTCCATGGTTCTTTAGGGAAAGTCACGTAGATAAAAAAAAATCTAATAATTAAAACAAAGTATATATTTTATGTTATTATTACATTTTTTCCATCTATGTGACTTTACTGAAAGAACCCTACAATCTGAATTCCTGCAGTCACGAAAGTTTTAAGTCAAAATTTAAACACGACCATAGCGTGAAGATCGTTGCTATTGTGCTCCGATCAAAGTCAACCTCTCCGAGGGGAGACCTGAGGCAAGCACTGCTCGTGAGTGTGCCCAGTAGCTCGCCAGGCCACAGGCGAAGGGCAGTCGAGGGTCGGATCAGAGACCGACGCGGAACGAGACAACCTGATCCGGAGCGTGTCCACCGAGCAGCGTACGAGACGTAGCGGCACCTGCCGGAGGACTCTCGGGAGGAGGAGGAGGGGGGAAGACGACGGCCGCCGTCTCTCCCAGCCGCTCCTCAGTCTGCAAGCGTCAACCGTGCCCGGTGCCAAGGGGGGGCGACGCGCTGCCGGCCGGGCTGGTCGAGCCGCGAGCGCGACCTGGCGACGTGGCCACCGTGCACGCCGCTGCAGGCTGAGCCTGGCCCATCGAGCCCCGCCAGCGTGAGCAGCGTTGCCGACTCGACAGCCGCTCCAGCTGTGGACGGAGCCTGATGGTGCACGTGGCCCGAGTGAGCCACGACCTGAACCACCCAGCGCCCCCTGCTGGGGACCCGAGGTATTTTCTGTACAAGTGTAGCGCCATTGATGGGCTGCACTTTGCAGGCAACGACAGGCAGCCCTGAAGCTAGTTGGGGGGCTGTGAGGGATTCTACGATCCCTCACAGCAAACACTCCCAACGGCTGGGGGGGGCTGCGGCTGCACTGACCTGCAACGGCAAACATGCGGACCTCAGTGGGGGACTCTGGGGTCACCCGCGTCCCTCACTGAGGTCCGCACCTCGGCTGAGAAACGGATATAAGGCGAGCCTCTGGAGAGGTCTCGGCAGTTTAAAAACCGAAGCAGTTGGAGATGGAAGCAGTTGAAGCAAGAAGACGCTGCTAGAGTAGGACTCTGAACCCCCCCTCGCTTCGCTGTCCTTTTAAGGGCCGAAGCTCTGTGAGGTGTCAGTGTTGGACCTGTACCTTGGCTGGGTCAGGTAGTCTCACATAGTATATCATAGCCGGAGGACCTTGAGCGTAGTCGGGTTAGGCACGCTACACAGGAGGCGTATCATATACCAAGTGGAAGAGGTCCTCAAGATCAACTGTATGAAGAATTGATGTATAGTAGTTAGGGTATGTGTGGATAATAAAGACGTCCCCCCCCCTACGAAGTGTCTCCGGAGCAACACTACACAAGGTAACACGCTGCACAAGCTGCTCCCCACCCTCTGGATCCAGAGGCACCGCTGGTAACAGATTCATGAGCAGAGATCGTACGTGGACCAACTCAAACCATACTACCCTCTAGAATTGTTGGACCTCGTGGTGACTGCCCTACAAGACTCACGACGCGTATATCGGGACGAAGAATGTTGTTCTGCGATGTTTTGTATTGATAGTGTTGCCATTCCAAGGTGGTGTGTGAAGTATTGACTGGTCGTGGAGAATCATTGTTACGTCCCTTAAGTTGCATGAATACGGTCGTTATGGTATTTTAGTCGTTTGTTTTCTTTCAATCACAAAATCTTGCCATTGAATTCATTGATGTCCCATTAGCCAATTGATAAGCATCTATTTTCCGAATCTATACACTCGCATGAATACTACTGTTTTGGGATATTTCTTTTAATTGCATAATTTTGCCCGTGAATGAATTTATTTCCTACGAGCCATTTGAAAAGCGACTACTTTTCGAACCTATACACTCGCATGAATACTTTGTTTTGAGATATTAATTTTAATCGCATTATTAATTAATTTGTTGATGCCTCCTTTTGCCATTGGGCACACGTTTGTTTAGCGCGCTTCTGTATGAATATTGCCATGTTTAAGGACTTTCCTATCGTGTATTGTCGCGTTTACTATGAGAAGTTAGCCTATTGTTCTGTTGCGCTGTCTAACAACGTAGCCATAAGACTTGACCATTGATGTTTAAATTTGTACGGATCGATGAGTACGATATTTGCAGGAGTACTGTTGTGGCAATTCTGATCACAAGTGTGTTCGCATATTTAGAGAGTTTTTAGATATTAAAGTTGCTCAACACAGAAGAGTCTGAGTGGTTCCTTCCTAAGTTCATGCATAATAATCTTAATCATAAGAACTGTATCCTGAGGTGAGATCTGAATTCTGAGACTGGACATAATTCTACTAAAATCACAATCAGTAAATGTTTAAGCGAGAATCATTGTATTATCAAGATTGGTAATACACCCCGAGACGAGGCCAAGCATCCACATGACACACAATCACAAACAACCACACACACACAATCCACCCCCTAGGCAACGAAAATGGCAATAATAACTGATCATAATACAAACACACACACACATTAATAATACTCCTACACTCACACACACGCATAGATGATATACATCATACACGTACATTTTCACAGAATATTTTATTGATAACATTCAGGTAGTTTATATTTTGGTTTTACTATATGGTATTCATTATATAGTGTAGTGTATACCCAGTTGCTTTGTGATTAATAGCTCAGCTTATTGAAGAATATATTAAGTACAATTATTATATTGATGTAATATAGACTTAGTTTTTTTTTCTCTCACATTGATTTACTGTATGAGAGTTGGGTAGTTGGAGGCCCTTTAGCGTCCATATACTAAATGCCTCTGTTGATATGTAAACTTTGACTTTAACACAGCTATTTTTGTCACAAGCTAATCCCTAGATATTTCAATGCTAAATTCTCCTGCTTTTTAGGTGCTTCACACCTATCACCGAGCTTAAAAGACGCCACGAATCTCAGCAGCACTCATTGAAGCTCTGTCGTCCCGACAGTTCTGTTCTTTCACCTGAAGACCCCTTGTGTTGTGGCCGAAACGTCGTGAGAATTTTGTCTTATTTTTATTTCATTATTTTATTCTCATTCTACGTGATTTTACCGAAAGAACCAAAGAAGATGATTCCCTGCAGTCACGAAAGCTTTAAATCGAAATTTTACGCACGTTTAATCACATACGATTGATCACATTGCACTGACACTCAATGAGCACCAATTAACATGAATTGCACGTGGCATTATTTGATTAAGTTTACCACATTTGCATATCTAAATGAAACAGCATAATTGAACAAATTTGCATACCTGTATACAAATTTTGTATCTAACATGAAAAATTCACAGCACAAAATATACAACAGTGCAAATACCAGGAAGGTAAACAAATCACCCAGACGCATCTACAAATACAAGTTAGTAGTTTAGTGCATGATGTCCAGCAGTGGTTTAACCCTCACGAGTTTGTGAACACGTTCACACTCACTCTAATGCCCCCTCACAAGCTCCGTTTGAAAGTTGGAGTGCCAATCATGTTGATTAGAAATATCATTGGAGAACAAGATCTCTGCAATGGAAAGAGATTTTCAAATCTGCCCATTGATAAGAAATTGCATCGATGCAATGATGATGACCGGCTCTCTTCATGGGAAAAGAGTTTAAATTCCTCGCATTTCCTGCCAATAGAGGTCAGTCTTCACTGTCGCCATCACAATGACCGATGTTTGTTGAGGCATGTGGGTTATCAAGATTTTTCCAGAGTTACACTCAATCGTTACGATTTAAAATATATACTCGTACATGGCCTCTAATTGCAATATTAATAGAAGAGATCAATCATTCGGCGAGTAATACATATCATCTTCAAATCTAATTCCATATATACTAAATTTGTGCATACAAAATGTATATAAAGTGCATTATGCCTTGCAAAAATAGAATACAGGTGCATTGATTTAGCATGTAGTCTACAGCAAACTCTTGCCCATCGCCGAGGTTACGTTCTTGATAAAAAGCTGCAATTGGAAAATTCGCCTTCCCCAAACTCGAAGGCAAATGGGGATAATGGGGGTTGGTTCACGGTTCCTAACGCACGAGAGAAAGAAAAATGGCGGGCGGCTGAACCTCACTGCCTCCTCACTCGAGGCTGGAAACACCACGTGACCCGGGACCCCCAATGGGCCGCTTGAGAGAAGAGACGGGAGACAAGATAGAGACAAGACGGAGACAAGAGGGAGACAAAATAGAGACAAGATGGACACAAGACAGCAGCATCATCGCGAGCAGTGCAGTTACGACGCGTACAGAAATCTCGTGATCAACCGCCAATGGTCCAGCCACAGGGGCACGATCGGCGAACTCTGTACCTCAATAGCCTTGGCACGAAACTGCAAAACCGCGATGGCTAAACCCGCGAGAGGGAAGAGTTTGCAGTACTCGAATGTAAAAATACACTTTTTTTAACAGTATATAATTCAAGGAATCCACTTGTAAATGTTGCAGAGCGGTGTGACCCCGGTGTGTGAAACGGCTGTGCAAGGGACTGGACTGTCGTGAGAATCATTCGCGTTCCCTTCATAGCCTTCACACAGCTGGGCTCGCAACGCCTCGCACGATTCACCTTGAGACGTCACGCGGCAGCCAAGCAGATGTTTTAATTATCGGACAAATGCAGAAAGATGGGACAAATTTACGCGATGGGTTTTTGTTTTGAGAAGTCATTGGTGACTGGGCTGAGACCATCAAACTCACCGCATTTGAGAGCCCAGTTTAATCACGACCATGTGTCTATCTAAGTCTATGGGTTTCTATAAAGTATACTGGTCTATATTTTCATGAATTGGTCACTATATTAGCCATTGGCTTTCTGTGTGAGTGGTTGGGTGTCTGTCTGAATTTATGTGTCTCTGTGTCCAATAGTGGGTCTGTATGTGGGCCTTTGGGTCTCTATGTGAATCTATGGTGTCTGTGAATATATGGGTCACTTTGTGAATCTGTGGGTCTCTGTGTAAATATTAGAGGTCTCTATGCCAATCATTTGTGAAGCAGCACGACAGTGCACGTTGCAAAATGAACGTAAAGCTACCACGTGTCTGGGAGGCTCAACAGTGACACGTGGTCAGCTGGTTGCCCCTCCCTCCACCACCAGCAACGCCAACATTTCTGTAGCCACGCCCACCCAGTTGAGGCCTCCCGTTCTACATCTCCATTTTCAGATGGTCCAGATCACACCAGGACTTTGGTATCTTTACGTTAACCTCACGAGGCATTGCGGTTCAACTGCACATCGCTACATTGCCGGCGTCTTGATTATGGACTCTATGAAGGTCAGTTTCTAGCAGTGGTGAGTTGATTGGTACAGTGGTGAGTTGATTGGTACAGTGGTGAGTTGATTGGTACAAGTTGCTGCATTTGTTAAGGTGGTTTGAGACTGGTTGGCTGGACTTCTGGCTTCTCTAAGTTGAGGTCTCACGTTCTCCTTCATCGTTTGGCTCATCTCCTTGCTCTGCCGGTGCATCTGGACCTGTTTAGTAAAGAGAGGTAAGCGATGAGTGCGTGATGAGACTAAGTGAACAGTGTAGGGTTGTGCAACACTTGCATAGATAATGAATGCAGGTACAGTGACGTCACAACCGCGCTTGTGCCATGCTAGGTGCACTTTGAGGTTCCGTGATTTGTCAAAGGTTCGCTGGCAGGAGGTCACGGAACAGACCCAGGTCTCGTGGGATGACTGAGATGGTTGGCAGACGCGCCACCTGTGCCCCCTACTGTGACAACTTTCTGTGCTTTAGCCGCCTCCTCTGTCCTCCGTTGTTGTTGGAGGGCGACTGCCTCCAGCTGCTCAGCAGCATCCTTCACGAACCTCCGGCACAGAGGCCGATCTTGACACCACTGGTAGCGTTCATCGGCAAGTCCACATTTAGCACACACACACGCGCCCAGTGTGCCACTGAAATACTGCGCTAATTCTGGGGTGGGCTTCCCCAGTCGTTATACATTTTCAAAAAAAAGAAAGGTCTATGAAGACCAAACGAAGCCTATATTAAATCTTGACTTAAAGCTTTCGTGACTGCAGGAATTAATATTCTTGGGTCTTTCAGTAAAGTCACGTAGATAGGTTAAAAGAAAATATTATTTAAAATATTATTTTAGTTGTTTTCTTTGAACCTATCTACGTGACTTTACCGAAAGACCCAATGTTGTTTCTATGAAACATAACATAATTTAGGCAACTTGTTGAGCACTCCCCATCTCTTCCCAGACAGTCTGGACCACCCTTCTCGCATTTCCAACCTCCAAGCAGTGCCTTATTATCCTAGTAGCACAAGTAGCACATGCTACTTATCAGTGTCTTATTATCCTAGTAGCACAAGTATCACAAGCTACTTATCAGTGTCTTATTATCCTAGTAGCAAAAGTAGCACATGCTACTTATCAGTGTCTTATTATTCTAGTAGCACAAGTAGCACATGCTACGTATCATTGTCTTATTATCCTAGTAGCACAAGTAGCACATGCTACTTATCAGTGTCTTATTATTCTAGTAGCACAAGTAGCACATGCTACTTATCAGTGTCTTATTATCCTAGTAGCACAAGTAGCACATGCTACTTATCAGTGTCTTATTATCCTAGTAGCACAAGTAGCACATGCTACTTATCAGTGCCTTATTATCCTAGTAGCACAAGTAGCACATCCTACTTATCAGTGTCTTATTATCCTAGTAGCACAAGTATCACAAGATACTTATCAGTGTCTTATTATCCTAGTAGCACAAGTAGCTACATATGCTACGGGCCCCGCACTTTCAAGGGCCCCGCGCTAAATGCTTTCAAGCTATCAATTCCGATTCAGTGATTCTGCACTTGCTCTATTACTACAGTCTGCACTTGCTCTATTACTACAATACTATACTCCCTTCGACTTTTATGTTATGAACGACTGGGTGTTATCTGGCTGTGACAAACAGAGACACAGAGATATATGTGGAAATCCACCCTGAAGCGGCCGGGGGAGAGAAAGAGCAAATGGACCTATGAGAGCCTGGTAAATTTTAGAGAGAGAAATAGGCCGTTTGAGAAAACACACACAGTTAACGCATAGCCTGGTTGATTACGATCTCCAAAAATTGCTAAATTTGAAGTTAAGTGTGAAATTTTACAAACAGAGAGACACTTTCTCTCCCCCCGGCCACTTCGGGGTGTATTGCCACACATCTCTCTGTGTGTCTCTGTTTGTGACTTTACCGAAAGAACTAAAGAGTACCTCCAAGTTGTCTACCCTATCCTGGCCACGTGATTCCTAGCATCCTGCACGTGGCCCTGCATGCATCGCAACAGGAGGGCTTCATTCCAGCCTCAAGCACCCGGCTCATGAATCAAAGTCACTTCCCCTGCCATGACAAACTTACGTAACAAACACAACGGTCCCCCATGATGTAGCCTTGACCAGTCAGTCGAGGCAAGTGCTGCTAGCGAGTAACACCTCGAGAGGGTGATGTGGCCAGCACCACGTCCGGCCGCCTTTATCTCAGCAGTGCTGGCGTTTACACAACGCAAATAGGTTAGGGAATTGAACCCAGGTCTCTGGTTCTTAGCGCAGTGCACACAAACACACAGAGAAGAATGATCCTGACCAGAGTGGCTCCTATCTCCTGCTTCTCTCGCTCTCACCTGCTCTTGCTCCTCCATCTTCTCCATTTGGGTTTAATCCATGCGTTTCTTCAACCCTGTTGACAGAGAGAAGTGGACATGCGTCGATCACACATCCCCATCTCTCACATGCAGCCTGTGACACTGGCATGGCTGGGAGTCTAACCCACGGCCTCACACCTGCCTGGCACCCGCATGGAACCACTTACCACAGCAATCACTGACCCTGATTTGACAGATATCCTTCGTTTATACACGTGAGAGCCCATTGAGATCACTGTCTCTTGTGATTGATGTGTTTTATTTAACCACGTGATAGCCCATTGAGTTCACCATCTCCTATGACTGACGCAGTCTCACATCACCACCCCCACTCATATGGAGCCCCTGTCACTGACAGCAGCCACGGCTGGGAGTCTAACTCAGGGGTCCCAGCTGCCAGGAGCTCACGCAGGCTCCACTGAGCACAGCTCTGAGTCACGGGCAGGCAGGGAGCTGGAGTCAAACTCAGGCCCTTGGAGAGGGCCGGCTCAGGGGTCTCTGGCGTGGTCATTGTGAGCCGTGTTCTATCACTCACTGTGAGGTTCTGGTGCAAGTGCAGTCGATACTCACCGGGCTTCTGCTTCTCTTGGCTGACTTTGTCTCATCAACCTCCTCCTGCAGTAAAAAACAACTCCAGCAGCAACACCCAGAGCAGCAATGACTCCAAGGACGATGCCAGCAACAGGTGATGGAGCTGGAGCTGGGCTTGGCGTGGGTGTTGCGTCGCTCGGTTCTATGAAACACAAACACAGACGACACAGCAACACGTGAACACCCACGAGATGGACGCAGTCAACGTCTTCTTCCTCTTCCTGCCTTGTCCCCCTCCTCTCGTGCGGTCACTGCCCTGCAGCTCCTCCTGCTCTGCTCATTGCTGCCTTGGGCCACCTCCGCGTCTACTCCCCAGTCCCTCGAATCCTGCCGCGTTCGCCACTTCTACTCCCCTCGCTCTCGGCCTGCCCCTCTGTCTCTGCCCTGGTGCCTCCACGTTCATCGCCCTTGCGGTTGCCCCCTCCTCTACTAAGGCAGCCCCAGCCGTGTGAGCCGACTCCCTCTCTCCGCTCGAGCGAGATGAGCACCGCCACTCCCGCCTCCTTCCCCAGCTCTTCAGTTCTGACCGATCCAGTCCTGTGATCGCTGAGATCCGTCGCACCATCCTCGTTTCTGTGCTGCACAGCATCTATTCCTCCTGGTTGTAAGGAGGAGCAGATGCGCTGTGGATTTATCGAACGCGCGTTCTGGCTCTACGCGGTGCAAGACCTAATGAGGTCTGTTTTCTGGAACACGGGAGGTGATGTTTCGGCTGGACGCTGCTAAGACTCTCATCTACGTGTCTAAAACTAGTGCCATGAGGGTGCTGCATCCATTGCAAGGTGTGAATGAATCGACTGTAAAAAACATTTAATTACCACGCATCTTTTAGTGTGTGGGTTTTTAGAGCGCTTTTTCGTATTAAAAAGTAACACACTCGACATGTACAGCGATGCATTGGGAATGTTCAGTGCCGTAAGCATCTCTCCATCCAGCCATTAAAGACTTTAGATGGCGAATCGGCGACAGAGTCAGGGGCGAGCGTGGGGCTGGGAATTCATTGTTAGGGGCGAGCATTGGACGCGAGTTCTGCGGTGCGGGAATGAGTCGGGGGTTTCATGTTCAGGAGTGTACACACGCAAGAAATGGAGAGTAACTCAGCATCCTTTAGTATAATAAGAAGGGCAGAAATATTGTAGAATTAGTAACACAGAGGGAGGGGTGATCATTTCGGGCCCAGGAAGGCAACCCTAGTGTTCCCACAATGTCAATAATTACATGTCGAACGCAGTTCTGCCTAACAAGTCATTTTCTAGGAACGTAACTCCCACGTCCGGCGAGGCCTGCCTGTGAATGTTAAATAGTAACGGTGCTATAATAACCGAGCCTAGAGGGAGGCCATTGTTCATGATTCTCCTGCGACTGTGTTCACCGGTGAGGTGTTCACCCTCAACGCACATTTTGCCCAGCATCGTGTTCATTAGGTGAACGGTAGAACTTCATTTGATGACTTTTGGGGCCAACTTCGACAGCAGTCAATAACGCCAAACGGAGTCATGGACAGCCAGCCGGAGAGGTCAATCATCGCTGGGCCGGTTTCCTGTTGATGCTGTAAATCGCCTTTGCAGCTCCCACATCGGCACTTGAAGTGAATCCGAATCAGAAACTTAATCCCTGAGTAAAGCCCTTTGAGCTAAGAAACGTTTTTTTCCGACATCAAAGCATTCTACATCCCACAAGTGGACAACAATCTCATGGGACAGAGACAGAGACAGGAACTTAAGCTGTCATTGGCTCATGTAGACAACTCAACAAAGAGTCGAGTTTATTATACTACAGGATGTGATATCTGTGAATAATAACAAAGACCCTTTATGCCTGTGCCACAGAGTGAATTTTAGTGGTAAATCTGGACAATAGAGAGAATTTGCATTTTAGCTTAGCAAGAATGATAAAGTAGTGGGTGTTAAATAGATCCAGGGAGGACATAATGCAAACCTGGTTCACTGTGAACGTTGAGCTGCAGATACCCGATGTCTTGCATGCTTGGCTTGTCGTGTCGATAAATCGTGACCTCACAGCGATATCGTCCAGCGTCGTGGGTCTGGATGTCGCTGATGGTGATGGAGGCATTACACGTGGACTCATCACCCACCCACGTGACCTGCAATGGCCTGAGGCTTCTCTTTCTGTATATGATCTTATAAACCTTGACAGCAAACGTGAGAAAACACCAGGGCATGACTGTGTCCACATAATAAACGTACTCATATTCCGAAAACTGACATAGTATGTAAATAACATTGATTATAACAGATACATATATAATACACCTAGGAAATGACTCTTCTTTAGAGTAGAGAGAACAGAGAGAATTTGATTTATTGTAGCTGAATATACAATACTATACTGCTGTCTGAAAAACTTTCAAGTTGACAATGGGACCAGAAAAGGAGAGGGGGTGACCTCCATTGAAATAAATTAGCATGAACGGGCGTTAATAAAGAACATTTACTCATCATTGCGAGCAGGAGGGTGTAAGTAATAGTGTGCAAGTGTGACAGTAACGCACCTTCTCATCTTGTCCATCTATGGTCCTGAACCACTCCACCAGCGTGTGTCTAATACCCGTGATTTTGCAGGTGTAGGAGCAGGACAGGAGAGCCGTGCTGCCTACTGTGGCGTCCTTTGCATCCGGGATGACAACGGCCAGGTCTGTGGACAAACCCACGATGGTCACATGAGCAGTGGGAATGAACCTCTGGAGGAGGAAGAGGAGGAGGAGGAGGAGGTGCTGGTCTCACAAAGCAGTGGTGACAATTAGGACAAAAAGTGGAGCCGAGGTGGTGAGATGTTAACTACCTCGCCTGGTAGACAGGAGTCGTGGGTTCGATCCCGACCCTGACACCTGCTGCTGTGTGTTTGGAGTTTACTCTCTCCATAGTCGCGTGGATTTTTCTCCGGATCCTCCGGGTTTCCCTTCCATATATAGAAAGATCCATTTAGAGTTTTTGGCTGTGTTAAATGTCCGTATGATAAGCCACTTCGTTGAGCTATCATTTGTCGCGTCTGAAAAAAAGCCGCATTGCTGAGTGGGCCTTACCAGGTAAAATAAAAATAATTTAGTTTAAGTGACATTGGATCCACACAGCAGGGAGGATTCTTTTCAGATAATGCATTGCAAAATCGAGTAATGTTTAACACGTAGGCTTTTGCGACCAATGTTATCCATAACATAAGTTTTTGGGGGTTAGACCACGTAACCAATTATCGAGAAATGTTTCTAATGTTTGATGCATGACACTCAAACAGACATACAGGCAAACCTGCCCAATGCAGCTTTGTTGAATGCGACTCTGCACTGGTTACCTGATGTGGGTCGGTTTCCGGAACATGGGGGTGGTGGTTTGGCTCTGCGTGGTTTAACGCTAAGATTGTCATCTTCCTGTCAAAGGGTGCTGCATCCGTTGGAAGGTGTGAATGAATCTACCATGAGAACTATTTATTTACCACGTATGTTTTTGTCTTTTTTTGTGTGATAACTTAACACACTCAACAGTACAAGGCAAATGTTTACATATTGCCGCATGCATCTAGCCGTCCAATGTCATATGAATGCCTAGATGGCGAATCGTTTAACGTTCAAGTGACAGTGTTAAGTACGAGTGTTGAGCGTGAATGCCATGGTACGGGAAGGGCATTGGAAACGGGGGTTTTGTGTTGAGGCGATAGTGAAAACTAAACAGTGCACACACACAAGAAATGGAGAGCGACTCAGCATCCTGTAGTACAAAAAAAAGCACCCAAATTATTTAGAATTTGTAAAACAAAGAGGAAGAGGGTGATCATGTTGGACCCAGGAATGCAACCTTAATTTTCCCGTTAGGTCTATTATTTGCCGAACGCAGTTTAGCCCAACGCGCCTTTTCCAGGAACATAACCCCTTGCTTTAGACGAGCTCTGCCTGGTTTAACTGCCAAGAGCTTAGAATTAGCCAAATTAAGTGCAACGTCAGATAACCAAATTTAATGTTACGATGTTTGGCAAGTACTGATTTTATTAATTTATTTGTTTATTTATTTCACCTGGAAAATCTGTTGAGAAGGAACATCTGTTTACAAGGGTGCCCAGGTGACCAGGCTAAGATGACAAACTCATGAGACTTTACATCCGGATTGTTTGCTAATTGAACACTGAAAGTGAAGAGTCACAGGCAGGAGATGACCATGGTTCTAGGTGCATGGTTCTGTCACATGTACGTATTCATGTTGAACTGTTTTCACACCGTACATAGCCAGGCACGGTGGTGCCGGGGAAGGACAACAAACCAAACACGAAAGGCAAAACGTGGATTTGTCGGGTGAGTAATTAGTGCTAGGTCTGGGCTACATGACAGATGATGGGAGTAGTGAGTGGTAGGACAGACCTATGAAGGACGTGATACAAACCTGTTCGTGGGTAGATGTTCAGCTGTAGATACCCAATGTCTTGGATATTTTGTGGATACACCGTGACCTCACAGCGATATCGCCCAGAGTCGTGGGTCTGGATGTCACTGACGGTGATGGAGGCGTTGCACGTGGACACATCACCCACCCAGGTGGCCTGTAAAGGCCAGTGGCTGGTCTCTCCATCGGGGTATTTATAAATCTGTGGTCAATAAAGGTAGAAGCAGCACACAGATCAAACTCGTTATATTATTTCAGTATAAAATTCGTTCAAATAAAACCCGAAAATGATTCTGTCCCCAGTGCTGCGACTGGGCTGGATTAACTGTTGACAAAGCAGCTTCACGTGGAGACTGTTTTCATATGGCTGGCCCATGCCTCTGTCCAGTCACATGACCAGGGGCCCTCGTTCTGGATAGAAAATACCAAAACCTGTTCATCTGCGTTGGATATTTTAAATGCTCAAGAGTCACGTGATAGGTTTACGAACAATACTGATCAATTCCATGACTGTGCTTGCTGATATTTTGTGGCAGGTGGCACACAGAACGGACAGAGGAGAAACTCACCCTCTCTTCATGCCCGTCTATGATCCTGAACCACTCCACCAGCGTGTGGGTAACACCGCTGATTGTACAGGTGTAAATGCCGGGCAGCAGAAATGTAGTGCCTGCCATGGCGTTCATTTTATCCGGGGTCACAACCACCAGATCTAAGGAAACCACACACAATGCCCACATTAGTATATTTTCTTATCTAATGTAAGTGCATAAACGCAAAACATTTGTCAGTAACAATGCATTTTTAAAGTACAGAACAGGCAGACCTCGTCGAACGCGGGGGGTTACGTTCTTGAAAATGCCATGGTGGGCAAAACTTTGTTAAATAACAAAATAGACCTCGTGGGAAGACTCGGGTTGCCTCCGTGCCTTCGAAATGATCACGCCCTCCCTCTTTGTTTAACTAATACTACAAGATGCCCACCCTCGTTATTGTACTAACGGATTCTGAGTCGTTCTCATGTCTTGTGTGTGTGTGTGTGTACACTCTTTGTCAATTTCAACGCAACACAAAACCTCCGTCTCCATTCTTCCCGCACCACGGCACTCACACCCTACGCTCGCCACTAACACTGCCACTTGAACATGTAATGATTCACCATCTAGTTGTCCGTATGACTGACGTTCTCAATAACCAGATGCATGCTGTAATGTGTGAACATTCACGTTGTGCTGCTGCTGTGCGTTTTAAGTGCATCACATTATCACACAAAAAAACTATACTCACACGCGCACACAGACATACACGGTAAATACATCGTTCTCACAGTCAATTCACACACTCCACCAGACGCATCATTCTCACGTGACTACCTTTTTATGCAGATACGAAAATGTTCGCAACGCCAAACTGCGTATCACTGAAATATCACCCCTGTGTTGTGGAAAACAAACCCCATCAGCCACAACCGTCTAGAGCCAAAACACGCGTTAGATGAAGCCGCGCTGGGCAAGGGTTTCCTCGAAAATAATTCGTTACCAAATGTTATCCCTGTGTCCCGCCACTAATATAAACATTAATTGGGATTTCTCACAGAGTAGTGCAACGTGTCTTGCTAGAGAACAGTTCGCAGAGCGGATATCACAGAGTGCTTCAAGCGACCTCTGCTGGTCCACGCAGTTGGGAGCAGGACTTTCCCAAATTGCTCTTCCACATGGAACAGCGCTTATCACGTGACAATGAACTAGATACTTTTGAATTCTCAGAGTTTTAATTTCGTCAATTAAGTGCAGAATTGCAGAAGGGGGGGCTTAGTCCATCAACTCACTCGCCTTTTGTCTCGGTTACCTCGCAGGCAAATGTCTGGACTTGAATCCATGCTTCTAAGTGGCGCTAGCTCAGAACTCTGACCTCTGAGTCACCTCCTATGCGAAGTTGTTTTAAGACCGCGTAAATGTCGGTGAGGAGCAGACAAAGGTTCTGAAGTACATTGGTGGTGACGAGATCGTAGCCAGGGGTTGAACCCAGTTCACCGTGGCACTGGGCCCATGGCTCTAAAGTGTACATGTTGAGTTCTATATCAGGTCTATAGGATAGATGATAGAGTTGTGGGTGGTAATGTAGACGATGTTTGAAGGAAATAACACAAACCTGATGGACTCTTGACATTCAGCTGTAGATACCCAATGTCTTGGATGTTTTGTGGATACACCGTGACCTCACAGCGATATCGCCCAGAGTCGTGGGTTTGGATGTCACTGACGGTGATGGAGGCGTCGCACTTTGACACATCACCCATCCAGGTGGCGTGTAAAGGCCATTGTCTATATCCATTGGGGTATTGATAAAGCTGTGGTCAACAAAAGTGAGAGCATGCACAGATCAAAAATGTTTCAAGTTTCATTAATTAGGTATAGCCCTGTGAACCATGCGGCTCTTAAGTTGGGTGCAACCGCAACAAACAAAATATGAACAGAGAACATCTTAAAGTAACGACGCGTAACAGAAACATCCTGGATAAACCAGCAAATCTTTTAAAAAAACCGTATTACAACGCTGTGTGCAATAATCCCAGTGTGATGCAAGTCAAACAATAACAACCACAAGAAAATTTAGATGAACCATATGTTTTCGAATTCACCAAAATAAAGCTTTAAAAACAATGTAACAACAGTAATCATAGGAACTGTGATTCAAGTTTAACAATAAACGATATACATAACATGTACGACCAAACTTGCAGCCATAGCTGGCAGCACGACACTCCCAGTGTATGATGTGTGAGTGAGTCAGTGGTAGTGTGAGTGAGTGTATGATGTGTGAGTCAGTGTATGATGTGTGAGTGAGTCAGTGGTAGTGTGAGTGAGTGTATGATGTGTGAGTCAGTGTATGATGTGTGAGTGAGTCAGCGTATGATGAATGAGTCAGTGTATGATGTGTGAGTGAGTCAGTGTATCATGTGTGAGTGAATCAGTGTAAGATGAGTGAGTGTATGTATGTTGTATGCATGTTGTATGTATGTTGTATGTATGTTGTATGTATGTTGTATGTATGTTTAACTTCTTTGGCACAGTAAATACCCAACCGTGCTAATCGGAGGTGTGGGGGAAGGACAACAAACTAAACACAAACAGGAGTTTTAAAGAAACGAGTTTTCAATCTAGATGATGATTTAAAAGTGCATAGCTCCAGTGGCTTCCTAATATCGGAAGGCAGAGCGTTCCAGATGGCCGCAGCAGCGTCGCATGTGACACCGCGCGATGCGGTGACCATCTTTGTTCGATGGCCAGCCAAAAGCTGCTGTGAGGATAACCGGAGTTCGCACCTAGAATGAATAAGAATGTCTTTATCATGTGTTGGACGCATTTTACCGGAATCACTATACTGGAGGTTGTAAGATGTAGAATTAGCACGGTTGGCTCGGTATCATGCGAAATAAGTTCAACGTACATACATACACGAGACCTGGATACGAGCTATACCTTCGCAGTCACATGTATGGACGTTATGACATCACAATGCCATGTGACGTCATAGCTTTGTAGTCAAATAGTCTACCAGTACATGCATGCTAATGGCATTGTCTACTAAAATGTCTATCAATATAACCCTGGGAGATAGTATTTTGAGACGGGGTTTTGGATTATCCCCCCACCCTTCACCACTGGCTACGTATGCATAAAATGAACGTGAGCAGATAAAGATACATCAGTAGCTGTAGCATACTATAGGGCAGTCCTCAACTTACGAATATAATTAGTTCCTGTGACACATTCATAAGTTAAATGTTCGTAAGTCAATGACTGCATGTAGATGGTTCCAGTGATGTAATTATTTTTTTAATTTGTAAAATTATATTTTTATATACTCTGATCGAGATAAATTACCATTATGTATAGACTAAAAACTTTCGTGACAGGAATTCATATTCTTGGTTCTTTCGGTAAAGTCACGTAGATAGAAAACAAAAATCTAAATTAAAAGCAAAAACCCCACGACGTTTCGATCGCAACACGAGCGGTCTTCTTCAGGTGGAGAAAATATAATTAGTTCCTTTCTAGATTTGAAGCTTTCGTGACTGCAAGGATCCATACTCTTTGGTTCTATTCGGTAAAGTCACGTAAAAGTATAAAACAACAAAAATAAAAAATTCACGACGTTTCGGCCACAACACAAGTGGCCTTCATCAGGTGAAGGGACCAGATTGTCTAGAGGACAGCGCTGGAGTGAACACAGCCAAGCTCAGGCCGCGACCTTTAAGCTGTGTGAGAGGAAGCAGAGCGCCTTGACAAAGGAATTAGCATAAACAATAGCATTTAATTGGCGGACTTAGCATGATGAACGGTGTAGAGAGGGGGAACATGTGCAGACCGGCGAGGGGGGAAGGGGGAGTTTACATATTGATGGTGTGAAAAGGGAATTTAAGCAGCTGCGCAAGTTTGGGATACCACTACTTGAAAAAATATACTGTACCATTGAAAATTAGTTTAATGTTTGGTTCGATTTAGAACATCTTTCCAATGATTGCTTAATTTGAAACCATCTTCTCGGTTGAAATTGTGTCTGTGTTTGTAAATCTGAATTGCCTCATGAACAAATCTCTGATAAAAACCCGTGGGTTTGCAAAGAACCTTGGTATCGGAGAAAATTATATCGTGATCACCCACAGCGTTGTAACAGTGATCAGCTACGGCAGAAGAATTCGTTCTGCCGTGTTTCAAATCTGATTTGTGCTCGCGAATTCGGTCAGAGACATGTCGTTTCTTCTCCCCGATATAGCAATCACCACAGGTACAGCTCAATTTGTAAACCCCGGGGTACTGTAAGTCAGGAATGACATCCTTCACGGAAGGGATCAGGTCACGGATTTTGTGTACTGTATTGAACCGGACCAGGATCTTGTGTTGGTTTAGAATTTTGGAGATATTTTTAGTAACGCCTGCTATATATGGCAGTGTGATGATTTTGATCGGAGTATCAAGTGGTTGTTTCTGTATGGAGGGAGAAACAGCTTGGCGGATGGTACGGTCAGAGTATCCATTCCTTTTGAGGGCCAGATGCACATGTTTTAATTCACTGGTCAGGTGGTGTTGGTCCAAAATGCAATGAGCCCTGTGGTATAACGTTTTGATGAGATAATTCTTTTGCTTCGGGTGGTGGTGGGAATCAGGTTTCAAATAGGAATCTGTGTGGGTGGGTTTCCTGTAGACAGAATGTCCCAATGAGCCATCAGGTCTCCTCTCAAACAGAACATCCAAGATTGGCAGCTTGCCATCTTTCTCCACTTCCATGGTGAATTTGATGGCGGGCTGTCTGGAATTAATGTGGTCTAGGAAAAGGTTCAAAGCCGGGAGGCCATGTGACCAAATGACGAAAGTGTCGTCTACATATCTCTTCCACAAGGAAGGTCTGAGGGTGGAAGTCTGGATGGCGTCTGATTCAAATTTCTCCATGAAAATATTGGCTATCACTGGTGACAAGGGGGATCCCATGGGGGTACTCTCATTTTGTTTGTAGAAGGAGCCATTCCAAGTAAAGTAGGTATTGTTGAGGCAGTGCCTAACCAGTGCAGGTGTATCGGGGTCTAGTCCATTTTGGACCAAATTTTCAATTATTTCAATGGTATCAGGTACTGGGACCTTGGTGAACAAAGATACCAAATCGAAGCTGACAAGGATATCGTCAGGGGACAGTACAACGTCTTTGACCATAGAGACCAATTGGGCTGAGTTAAGTACTGCTGAGGCGGTCTTGCCAGTGAAAGGCAGCAAGGTATCTGACAGAAAACGGGCCAGTCTATAGGTAGGGGAGTTGATCGTGGATACGATGGGTCGTAGTGGGATGCCTTCTTTATGAATCTTGGGAAGACCATAGAATCTAGGGGGTCTTGCAGCAGAAGGTTTTAGGGAGGGACGTTTAGTTGGGTCGATTAGGAAAGTCGAACTTGTGATGATCTTGTTGGTTTTTATCGCTAGGCTATTAGTAAGGTCATTTTTAATTTTTGAGTAACTATTATCGTTGAGCAGATTCTTGTCCAACATGGAATAGACCCCGATACACCTGCACTGGTTAGGCACTGCCTCAACAATACCTACTTTACTTGGAATGGCTCCTTCTACAAATAAAATGAGGGTACCCCCATGGGATCCCCCTTGTCACCAGTGATAGCCAATATTTTCATGGAGAAATTTGAATCAGACGCCATCCAGACTTCCACCCTCAGACCTTCCTTGTGGAAGAGATATGTAGACGACACTTTCGTCATTTGGTCACATGGCCTCCCGGCTTTGAACCTTTTCCTAGACCACATTAATTCCAGACAGCCCGCCATCAAATTCACCATGGAAGTGGAGAAAGATGGCAAGCTGCCAATCTTGGATGTTCTGTTTGAGAGGAGACCTGATGGCTCATTGGGACATTCTGTCTACAGGAAACCCACCCACACAGATTCCTACTTGAAACCTGATTCTCACCACCACCCCACGCAAAATAATTATCTCATCAAAACGTTATACCACAGGGCTCATTGCATTTTGGACCAACACCACCTGACCAGTGAATTAAAACATGTGCATCTGGCCCTCAAAAGGAATGGATACTCTGACCGTACCATCCGCCAAGCTGTTTCTCCCTCCATACAGAAACAACCACTTGATACTCCGATCAAAATCATCACACTGCCATATATAGCAGCATTACTAAAAATATTTCCAAAATTCTAAACAAACACAAGATCCTGATCCGGTTCAATACAGTACACAAATCCGTGACCTGATCCCTTCCGTGAAGGATGTCATTCCTGACTTACAGTACCCCGGAGTTTACAGATTGATCTGCACCTGTGGTGACTGCTATATCGGGGAGAAGAAACGACATGTCTCTGACCGAATTCGCGAGCACAAATCAGATTTGAAACACGGCAGAACGAATTTTTCTGCCGTAGCTGATCACTGTTACAACGCTGTGGGTGATCACGATATAATTTTCTCCGATACCAAGGTTCTTTGCAAACCCACGGGTTTTTATCATAGATTTGTTCACGAGGCAATTCATATTTACAAGCACAGACACAATTTCAACCAAGAAGATGGTTTCAAATTAAGCAACCATTGGAAAGATGTTCTAAATCGAACCAAACATTAAACTAATTTTCAATGGTAGAGAATATTTTTCAAGTAGTGGTATCCCAAACTTTCGCAGCTGCTTAAATTCCCTTTTCACACCATCAATAGGTAAACTCCCCCTCCCCCCCTCGCCGGTCTGCACATGCTCCCCCTCTCTACACCGTTCATCATGCTAAGTCCGCCAATTAAATGCTCATTTTTATGCTAATTCCTTTGTCAAGGCGCT